GATTTCCCAGATTTCTGATAGGTCTACTCCGATTTCCCAGATTTCTGATAGGTCTATTCAGATTTCCCAGATGTGGTCTTTCTACGAATGGTTTGTTTTCTCTAGGAATTCTTGGCATTTTATCCTAGTCTGGAAGACAGTTTTCAGATTATTCTCTTAAATTTTTTTTATATGCCTGTCAGGCCAGTAGTCAGATTTCCTCTCTTATTTATGATTATAGTAATTTAGCCTTGTCTTTCCCTGCTTGGGTCAGTTCAGTTAAGGGGTGTTGATTTTGTTGATCTTTTCAAAGAACCGACTTTTGGTTTCATTGATTTTTTTCTATTCCAAATTAATTTTTAGTATAACCTATGAAACCTACTTAGCCTCAAAAAATTGGCATAGTCACCTGCTCCAAGAAATCTGTGCAGTTTATGAATCCAGGTTAGGCCCACACTATGTACACCAGCTTCATGAGCACAGTGGTATCTTGAAGGACATCTGGAATCTGCAAATTGAATCATTTCATGATATCAATGAAGTCATTAGAAAACTGAAAACAAATTCATCTACGGAGCTCACAAAAACATCTCATGATGGAAGGGCTACAATTTCTTCAACATCTAGGATACTGCTTTCATGGAACTTTCCAGGTTAAAGTTTGAATTCTTATTACAATTCTAAGTATTTAAAACAGTGTAATATACAAGAGGAAGGTTTCCAAAAATTGGTGGAAAATCCATTATCTTTTCATTTCATTTTTCCACATACATTTTGAAGTCCCTTTGTGCATGAATCACATTGTATAGAAAGCATGATAGTTTTAGTAGAAATATAAGGTGGCTTCAAAAAATTCATGAAAACAAACTCATTATCTTTAATTCAATCTTTAACCATGAACTTTATACACTCCTCATCTAATGGGATTACAAAAAAAGGGCAAAGACCTCAATTTAAACAAGTATTTTACCTTTGTGAAGTTTGATTGGACAAGAAAAGTCAGACTCAAAGGGCTCGTCCTCTCCAGAAGCCAATTTCAGAGCAAGCTCCAACTCAACACATTCAAACACGTAAAGAGAAGGGGTGGGGTCAGCTCTGGAATCCCAGGACTTGTCTGACTAGTTAAAAAGAAAAAGTATTATAATTGTAGTCTTCCATGTTCATTTGGAAATGTACACAACTGGAAACAGGCAAAGAGCTACATCAAAGTGTATATTTCTATTTTTCTTAATTCCACCCCTTTTTCTAACAATGGTTACTTTAAAAAGAAAGCCAATTTAGCACCTCAAAGGTTCTTTGTGTCTGTCCCCCCCTTTAAGACTAAGATAGAGTTCAGCTATACAAAAGTGGGCTGGTGAGCCAAGAGAGTTGGGTAACCTTCTGACATCTTTTTATTTAGATTTTTGTGTGTGTCAATGGCATTTTTTTTTTTAACATTTTATGAGGGGCTCATACAACTGTTATCCCAATCCATACACACATCAATTGTGTAAAGCGCATTTGTACATCGTTT